ACCACCATTAATGGAATTAATAGTTCCGTAAATGAACGTGAAAATCATGTGTTTCATCCAAATTTTCCAGTCTCCATCCACACGTAATTTGGACATTGATTGCAAATAACATACACTAATATTAATAATCATGTACAACATGGGTGTTGAGGAGTTATATATGTGTAAAGTTATTTATGTCTAATACCAAATTTAATTACAGAGCAAAAATAATATAAAAACATCACGAAGCACAGATTTTCGTCATGTCAGCATCCGAAGCGTGAGAATCTGCCACCCAGACTCAACACGTTTTGAATTAATATTTAGGGAGGGATATCCCTATAATTTGACTAAATTACCAAAAAAAAAAAAAGAAAAACTTTTAGAAATATTTAAACTGTAATATTGAAAAATAGCTGAGGGAATCAAGACCCAACCTTTTTGGAACTTAATGCTATATTGTTCTAGTTAGCATATAACAAAAGAGCATCATCGTGTAATCAAAAAGGTATCAAAAGTGCTTCAAAACACACGGCTGATGCATGAATGCAGTAGAGTAGTATATGAGTTTCGAACATAACACAGCAAATTACAGCTACAAAATTTACAGCCACGACAGAATTTACACATATATAATAAGGTAAATGCCACGCATAACCAGAATGAAGCACGGTCAATAAAGTACGTAAAAAATGAGGGGCGAAAAGAAAGGGCATGTTTTTTTCCTTATGCGAAAGATTGAACCACAGACGAAGTGGTGACCAAGCCCGAGAGGAGACCGATAATGACTGCGCTGTTGTACGTGCTCGGCTCTGTCTGCATCGAGTTGTTTCTCGAGTCAATAAACGACTCGTTCAGAAAGGGCCCACCCACGAGAGCTCCCATAGCAATGTTGGGGTTTGGGCTATCCGAGTCGAGCCATCTGAATCCATTTTTGCAGCCTGTGGTTGCATCAGTCGGGATTGAGGCACCCCTGTGGTGGACAAACTTCGAGTAGTTGTCTCCATAACCCACGAGGTAACTCATCTTCATTGGGTTGTCACCCAACACATAATCAGCCTAAATATAATGAGCGAGATGCATAAGTGTTGCAGGGTAACAAATGAGCTAGATTGTTAAAATGTTGGGCTCAAGCCCAGCCCATCGAGCCAAAAAATGAGGCCAGGCACAAAGTTCTGACCCTTTCAAGGCCTATAAAACTTGGGTGCGAGCCCGAACTCGTCCAAAAATTGGGCCGACTCACTAATTATAATGGATAATGTTGAAATCTCTCAGGGTGTTTTGTGCTTAATGTTGAGTTAAGGGGCACTTCAAAGAAAGGAAAAGTGACGGTATTTTAGCAAGTGTACCTGTGAGATTGCAAACTTGCGGAGATCTGAGGGCCTGAAGTTTCTCCCACTGCAAGATAGCCTTGCCGTTCGAGACGAGAGCATGTAATCACTGTAGACAACTGCTAAAAATGCTGATGCCACGGGATGCTGTAAAGCGTTCCACTGGCTCACCCATACTAAACCATCTGCGTATATTTGTGACTTGAATTTTTCAGCAAAATGTATAAATGGAGTTATATTAAGAATCTTCAAAACAATCAGTGAACTTCACACGTCATATAAGCACCCTTACGTAACTCTGACAATCTTACAACTCAATGGAGTTCCATACGTTGAGCTATTTATGACTTCGTGTTCTATTCTGAAAATAATCTCGTATAAATATTTGAGACTCAACTTTTTTCCCTTAAAGTTCTGAAGTTCTTGCAGGCTAGAAAATGCAGCACGAAAAATTTACAAGGAAATATGGTTGCAGTAATGCTACAAAAAAAACTCTTACATTCCAACGGAATTTTTCCGTTGGAATTCTTTATATTTTCCATTGGAATAGCTATTCCAATGGATATTCCTACGTATAAAAATTCGTGGGAAAAACGGCCGTTGGAATAGCTAAAATCTAACGGAAAATCCTATGGAAATAAATTCCTACAACTATTCCAACGGAAAAAATCCGTTGGAATTCCTCAACCATCCAACACTTATTCCAACATAAAATTAAGTTTGTTGAAATATTCATTGGAATTTCCAACGGAAATTTTTGCCGTTGGAATTTTTCGTTGGAATTGAATTGTTTTCTTGTAGTGTAATAGCATAAGATTTAAAGTAGAATAAGAAGGCAAATTACTATCAGTTCTGCTGGAGGTGGCAGTTGGTGATTTGGGTAAAAGACCACACATGACAGCCTCTGCTGAATCCCTATACTTCCTGAGGAGATTTGAATTTGATACGTCTTTTTCTCCGAAAAAGCTGACCCTGGACAGCAGAACCTGCAGCATATAAATACACTTTCGTGAACTTTCTTATTTCCAAATGATTTTGTTCCAACATAGTGGTCGTATCTAATTGTAAAAAGCGATGTATATAGGAAACAAATTCGCAATGCATCTAATAATTGCCCAGACCTCAGCACATATTAAATCACACAGAAAGGGAATGCACATGCACTTAATTCAAATTATTAAGGTGCAAATGGAGATGTCCTTGTTAACAATATCCATTATCTCTTGGTAAATAATGTTTTCTGGTGAAGTGAGTGAAATTTTGGCTGGTGAATAAGTTTTTGCATTATATCTCATAAAAGCACTAAGCTTCAACTGAAAGTTTATATTTCCAAAGAAAAAAAAAAAACATCTTGCTGAAACAAAGTCAGATAAAAGTTAAAACATTCTAACATCATAGACCCATAGTTACTGAACATGAGAATCTAAACGGACTGAAGAGCTGAGACCAATTATTCTTGAAATTCAAGAACTTACCTGAGTCCCAGCCAGCTTGTTATCCCAGCTAAACCAAGTTGGGTTCCCAAAATTACCGAAATCCTCTCCATTCTGACCAGTTACGTACTCAAAATACGATCTCTCCCCAGTAGCGTGGTACAGCCAGCTGGCAGCCCACAACAGCTCATCCCCATACCCAGTTGAGTTATAGAAAGTCTGCACTTCCGGAATACTGTCACTGTACAAAGCTCTGTATTTGTCTGCAAATGTAAATAGTTGTTTTGCATGCTTCAGAAGCGAACTTGAGTAGGCAGAGTTGGTGGTCTTAAAGACAAGAGAAGCCGATGCTAGAGCAGCTGCTGTCTCTGCAGCAACCTCAGATCCTGGAGCGGAGGTATTGACCTGTGTAAGAGGCCTTTCCTCAGTCATGTCTTCAGGCCTTTCCCAACATCCGTGGTCGAGTTCTGGGCTGCCTACCTGAGGAAAAACAATAGACATGGAGGACGACCACTAGTTAGGCATGTTTGTATGGTATAGTTACAATGATTAAAGAATTGCATTCAGTTTTGATTAGATTGCAAACACATACTCAACAAATTTGAAAATTACAGAAACTACCACCAAGTTGTACATTGCCTTACATCTTTGCACCTGTCGTTATTGGAGCTAATGGAAGTTGGTAATGTTGGAATGATATTTTCAAAGTAATACCCCCAGCTTTTGTATATATTACATAAATGTTCAAATATTCACCAGGTGTTCCACATTGAAATATTCTAGATATTACGAATAGCAAGATGAAAATATGGGGGCTACAATTGTACGCATGCATGATGGCAGCAAATTGTCATTAAAAAATCTATTGCTTCCCCATTAGATAGATTTTTGAGTCACCTGTGCTCTGGGAGGAAGGAAGCTAGGCTCAACTAATGGTTACCATAAAATGTAACCAAAATTGGACCTTGAGGAGTGATTTTTTATCTACTTATTTATTTATTGTTGATTTTTTTATGCTATTTGTAAGTTGGTCCAAGTCCAACCCAATGTTCTAAAAGACGCTAGGCGCACTCTAGGCGGCGTGCTGGAGCTAGCACTGTCTATTAGACGAGGTCTAGGCACGGTCGTAAATATATTAATAAATACTTTTGTATTTATAATCATACAAAAGTCACATTGTATAAAATATAGTCATTAATATGGTTAAAAAGAAAGATTTTCAAAAACATAATATATTAGTAACTATTATATTAATTTTAACATGATTATTATTTTTATAATTTTATAATTATTGTATATTCAGTATATTAAAATAATAAGTTATGTTTTATTATATTTTGAAAATAAACTAAAAAGGAAAAAAGAATTATACAGGCACCTAAGCAATGCCTAGGCCTTGCAAACTTTACAACCTTCTAGACCGACTAGGCACTTCCTAGCCCGCCTAGATGACGCCTAATTACACGAGTGTCAAAGACAAAAAGTGGGGCACCAGAGTGCTGTCTAGATGGACGCCAAGCCCAATTTTTAGAACATTCGTCCAACTTCAATGGCAGTTTTGGTAAAAAGAGTTCACAAATATCATGTCATTTCACTTCTTTTTCTTCGGAAAGTCGTGATATAAATAATGATCTTAATACAAGCTGGTGAAACTAGGCATTCCACATACTAATACAACAGAAATAAGAATTTCATGCTGACACTACTTGGAGAAGTGTTAGTCATCCCACATTTAAGTGTTTTCAAATATGACGTGGTACAAGAGAGCTTTAAACTATTTATAGTAATCCCAGATTAAGATGTGCTCATAGGAGGAAAAGTATGGTGTCCTAACTTATGATGTAGTACCAAAAAATAAGGGAACAAAAATGCACTTTCTAAAAATAGAAAAGGAAAA